TATCCTTATAGTTGTTCATATCTATCTATCTATCTATCTATCTATCTATCTATCTATCTATCTGTCTAACCTTATGGTTGTTCATATCTATCTATCTATCTATCTATCTGTCTAACCTTATGGTTGTTCATATCTATCTATCTATCTATCTATCTATCTATCTATCTATCTATCTATCTATCTATCTATCCTTATAGTTGTTCATATCTATCTATCTATCTATCTATCTATCTATCTATCTATCTATCTGTCTAACCTTATGGTTGTTCATTATCTATCTATCTATCTATCTATCTATCTATCTATCTATCTATCTATCTATCTCACCTTATGGTTGTTCATATCTATCTATCTATCTATCTATCTATCTATCTATCTATCTATCTATCTATCTATCTAACCTTATAGTTGTTCATATCTATCTATCTATCTATCTATCTATCTATCTATCTATCTATCTATCTATCTATATAGAGGGATATTTAGGCATGAAAATATAGAAATAGATAGAGACATTAAGTGATTTAGATAGATAGATAGATAGATAGATAGATAGATAGATAGATAGATAGATAGATAGTTACGAAGAGACGAAGATAACGAAAAGACATAGATGGAATGAAAGAAGGAAAGACAGATTGATAAAGAAGTGACTGAGATAAGTAAATATATTATATATAAACATAACCAGATAGATAGATAAATTGATTGAGAGATGTATGTAAAGTTGGTCGCTTGAGATTCCAAAAGAAACGTATTCTGATGTTTGGCTAGGCGTTTGTCAGAGAATTTTTCTGAAGGCTCTCGCATATCTATCTATCTATCTATCTATCTATCTATCTATCTATCTATCTATCTATCTAAGTTCATTCATATCTATTTATCTACTCATATGTGTATCTCTGTTTATGTACACCTATGTGATGAAGAGTTCTTTTTTTTTTCATGTAGTGGAGTTAATATTTTTGACTCCATTCCTAGGAACAATTAACCCTTTACATATTAAAATTCCGGTAACGTTGTTGAGTGACTCTTTTTAATACATTCAGTTGATTTACCTCACTTCTGAAGAATCTAGTTTTGGGAATTTTTATCCATTTGTTTACTATAAATATTATAGGAACATCCAGAGAAAAGCGATACCTAGGGTTTAAAATAATTTTGAAAAAAGAAAAAAAAATCTTGAGCTTTTATTTTATTTTTAATTTCAAGCTAATAGATTAAATTTAATATTTTAAAATATGCAAAATACTTTGCTCCATTTCAAAACGAATCTAAATTGATCAGAATTGCTGATTTTAGCCATATTTAAAATACTCTCAGCATAATTATTTTTATTTAAAATTCTTTTAAAAATAAAATATACTTTTTTTAAACATTCTGTGAGGAATATTAGCTGATGTAATGTTTAATTAATCTGATTTTAAACAAATATTATTTCCTTTACTGTTTAAAATATCACAGAAAGGCATTTTTTTAACACGGTGGTAGGTGTCTGTGAGGTGTTGTCAGTTCTACAGATATTTGGGAAATTTAACTAATTTCTTCCTACGGGGGATATATCTGTAAAAATTACTTGAATATAGAATGAGCGTCATTTTGATATATATATATATATTTTAACTATCCAGTAGTCTGAAAATTTTAGAAAAATATTCTAAATAATCACAGTTACACAGTTACCTTTGTTATTTTCAAATAATGTTGTGTCTAGACGCGTACGTATTTACAAAAATAGGCACGTCTGGGTCGTTAGGTAGGTGACACTTGGGAGAACTTGCGTTTTGTCAAACTCATAGATGACTTCTTTAACATACTAATTACTTGCTCATCTACACACCCTGACGTGTGTCTGGTCATATGAACGAGTGAAATCAGAACGACGTGACGGATAAGTCCTTTCGGGCGGGCCAAAAGAGACTAACCTGATCCCAAGCAAGACATACACCCTATGTCCGGTTTTATTGTCGCTTGGTCTCCAAAAAGGACTCATCCACTCTTCTTCTGTTCCCCTTCGCTCAAAGGGGATACCGCTTAGAAAATGCCAAAGGACCACTCCCTGGTAATAATATAAAAACACGTGAGATCGATGTAAAAACACATCCGCTTTCTTTTCGTGGTTGTGTCACACTAGCGACACACACACACACACACACACACACACACACACACACACACACACACACACATATATATATATATATATATATATATATATAAGCAGTAGACATAGTTAGGCAGGATGTGAATGTGATAGATATAGACAGACTAGATGCACAGGCACTATGTATGTAGACAGACAGTCATGTATAGAAAATATGACCAGATTGAAAATAATAAAAACAAATTGGTATGAACTGATTGTCATTTATATAGTGTGATTGACAGTGTATAAGAAATGAACACACATACACGCATTCGTATATATTCAAAATTAGGCAGCTCATAAGAGAAAAGACAAATGAGGTTCGAAGATATATATTGATAGAATTATATAGAGATAATAACTTATGGATTTCTTTATTGATCAGAAAATACAGACTAAATTTATTGATTTACAGGTTATATAATGTTCAGGCACAGATTTAGATATCCATCTTTCACATATGCACATGCATTAAGAAGAATACATTAAACCAAAGAGATACAGAAGGAATAAAAATAGACATGAACAGACTGAGATAGATAGATAGATAGATAGATAGATAGATAGATAGATAAGAACAGAGTGAGATAGATAGATAGATAGATAGATAGATAGATAGATAGATAGATAAGAACAGAGTGAGATAGATAGATAGATAGATAGATAGATAGATAAGAACAGAGTGAGATAGATAGATAAGAACAGAGTGAGATAGATAGATAGATAGATAGATAGATAGATAGATAGATAAGAACAGAGTGAGATAGATAGATAGATAGATAGATAGATAGATAGATAGATAGATAAGAACAGAGTGAGATAGATAGATAGATAGATAGATAGATAGATAGATAGATAGATAAGAACAGAGTGAGATAGATAGATAGATAGATAGATAGATAAGAACAGAGTGAGATAGATAGATAGATAGATAGATAGATAAGAACAGAGTGAAATAGATAGATAGATAGATAGATAGATAGATACATACATACATACATACATACATACATACATATAAACAGAACGAAATAGATATGTGCAGATTAAGAGAGATAGGTATGAACAGATATATATATATATATATATATATATATATATATATATATATATATATAATGTACAGATTGAGCTGGATAAATATGTATGAAAAGACTGTGATAAATATCTAGGTAGCCAGTTAGCTAGGTAGACACATAATGAGATAGATAGACAAACAGATAGATAGATAGATAGATAGTAGATAGATAGATAGATAGATAGATAGATAGATAGGTCGCAACAGCTAGATAGAGATAGAGATGGGTAGATAGATATGAACAGAGATAGTAGCAGATTGACATAGATATGGACAGACTGAGATAGATAGATTGATAGATAGATAGATAGATAGATATGTATGAACAGACCGAGATAGATAGATAGATAGATAGATAGATAGATAGATAGATAGATAGATAGATAGAAGTAGACATGTACAAATATCAATAATGTAGAATATATATACAAAATAATCAAATGAAATGCCAAAAACCCACTTATAGAAATAAATCCAGTTGTGCGACATATGTAATGAATTTTTTAACTTTTATGTGCGTTAACCCTTCAAAATATGAATGATGATGGTACTCCCCAGTTTCCTCTTCTTTGTAGCGTTTAATCAACATAGAGAACCATTTTTGCTTTCCACCAACATGGCTGATACTAACCTCTCGGTGTACAACTCATTTTGTATTGTTAGGTCTGCTGCTAGGAAAATTGATTCACTGTGTTGTGCTAGACGTTTTTCTCGAGAAAATCCATCTTGTATATTTATAAATCTACCATCCGTCCGTGTATTGAATATTGCTGCCTTATCTGGATCTCCTGTAATATATGTCAAGATTCTTGACAAAATCCAATAAAAGGATCTAGAATGTTAACTGTCCGGACCTGTCATCTTAACTTCAGTCAGTTTCCCACCGTCGTAACGTGGCTTCAGTCAGTTTATTCTATTTTTATGAGATTTTCTTTTTGGTACCACGCCTTCACAAATTAAACCTTACCTACTAGACTGGCAAGTAGGTCGGATATATCTATCTATCTATCTATCTATCTATCTATCTATCTATCTATCTATCTATCTATCTATCTCAATCTGTTCCTATCTATCTCAATCTGTTCCTATCTATCTATCTATCTATCTATCTATCTATCTATCTATCTATCTATCTATCTCAATCTGTTCCTATCTATCTATCTATCTATCTATCTATCTATCTATCTATCTCAATCTGTTCCTATCTATCTATCTATCTATCTATCTATCTATCTATCTATCTCAATCTGTTCCTATCTATCTATCTATCTATCTATCTATCTATCTATCTATCTATCTATCTCAATCTGTTCCTATCTATCTATCTATCTATCTATCTATCTATCTATCTATCTATCTATCTATCTATCTATCTACAGACTTAGATATCTGATGCAACCCTAGAGAGAAAAGGAAAGTAATTTACATTGTTTAGTCATGTCTGACACAAGAAAAGCATTTCGTTGGACTCATCACTTGTGTCCTCATCGATTGATTTTGAACATGATGAAGGCAGAACATCGATAGGTAATTTGTCATACCAATCGAACACTAAATATGCAACATATCAATGTAACAAAGAGCAGTGATTTTATTTACTAACGAGACAAGTTTTGTTTCTCAGAAATCATCCAACAATTCGATCGTTCGTTTCTCTTGTCGTTCACATTATTGATGTTAATCTTGCTAGACTGGCGTATATTCCGTATTAATTTGACGCCGCAGAAGCTCCAGAAATCGATGTAAATTCTTTGGTGCAAGCTGATCAAAAAGAGTCTAACAATGGAGGTCGATTATAGAGCGTTGTATGCTTGGAGCTGCGGGGTCGAACGACAGGAGGGACACAGCTGAAGAGAAAAAGGAAGAGAGGCTCTACGACAAATTCAGTAGCAGTAAAAATACTCCGACTTCTATCCCGTTTGCTATCAGTGTCTTGTGTGTGTCAAATTTTCTAAACCCTTTTCCCTCATTATGTGTCCCAGAAATTTCAACTCTCTTTCTGATTCTAAGTGTTCTTTTCGTTTCTATTTTCCTTCAGATTTTCAAATTTCTTCAATAGAAAATGAATTAGCGGTGCCTACAGTGTGTTTTGAAAATGTTATAATTTCAGTAAATGTGAATCTAATTTAGCAGAAATGTAAATATTGATATAGCTTGATTAATCCGTCCGCCCATAAATATTCTCAGCATGCTTCTGTAGAACCATATTTTCTGTTGCCTATTTATTTGCAAGGAAATTGTCGAGCATTTACTGCCATGGATTGACATTACATAGCCGTTCGACATTTGCGACTTTGTTTCTAACGAGATTTGACTGTTTTTTTAAAACTTTGCCTGCAGCAGCAGAAGCAGCAACAGAAGAAGAAGAAGAAGAGAAAACAAGAAAGAAAAGAAAAAGAATAGAAAATAAAGAAGAAAAGAAAGAGAAAATAAGGAAAGAAGAATAGGAAACTATCGATGAAGAAGGCGGACCTAAAAGAGCAATATTCAAATTCCGACCTGAAATAAGTTTTTATCCGGCCTAAAATCTCTTTTGTATTTAATAATATCTTGATGACAAAAAGCTCAAAATAAAACTTAGTCATTCATTTAAATTTTATTCATTCATTTATAAAACGTAGTTTTTCTTTGACACAAGCACAAATGTATAAAATATAAAATGTTTTCCTACCACTAGAAAGTTGGGAAGTTGTTGCTGTATCCACTTATAAGTGAATACAGTTAACCGGCTTAAAGGAATTCTAAAAACAAGCATTGATATATAGGAAAAGATAACTCTTATGGTCATATAATCTATTATTTAAATTCCTAGATGTCTCACTAGTATATTTCATGGAATATTTTTTGCTATGTATTTTATAAATTTCTGCTTCAAGTTTAAATGTTGTTGTTATTTTGTCTTGTGCTGATTAAATCTTTATGGTTTTTGGAATAGTTGTAACACATTTTTTATATTAAGTTGATATAAACTCTTTTCAAGTGTCGTCGTTACTGAGCTGATAGATAATTTATGAGTCTCGCTTTATCAAGGTTAGTTTTGTTACTTTTTATTTGTGGATTGGAAAGAATAGTTTAAAAACAAAACAAAAAATAGCATAAATCCCGCGAACATTTTATTTAATCCGTTAGTGACTTTTATTTAAAGCACTTCCGATATAAATTACGCATTGTTTTGGGAATTGTTCAAAGCAGATTATGAGAAGAATGCAAAAAATTTGCGGAAAGATAATGGTTAACCCTAGATTTGAAGAGGTCAAAATTATAGCAATTGGGAAAACATCCATCGTGGGTCTGTTACGGAAAGCATCAGTTCTTGGTAAGAGGCTGTCCGAGTGAAATTTACTTTTTGTTGATGGAATACGAAGCGAATGGATTATATATTACGGTATATGTGGCATATGAGTCACATTTGTCAAGGTAGGGCTGGTGAGATTAAGGAATGAAGCTCGTCAGATTACATGCCTTGTAAATAGCGATAGAATGGCAAGAAGCTCGCGATGTTTAGTCTGTGGGAAATGGGGTTGTAGGCTGGGAAATAATTCATCATCCCCAAGGTCGCGTCGACATCAAGACAGGCATACAAGAACTAGGCAGCTGCAGCTCATATATGGCAGCAATATTCTAATTTTCTGCTAATCACTCGTCAATTACTGATCAATTAAAGAGTGACAATATGAAAAATTCTTGTCAATATTATTCATTTCCGATTGAATTTCTGGGATGTGGATTATCTTTATTTTAAATTGTTTACATTAGGGACAACAGCCGGGTAGATTAAATTCTTGGTGTATTTCTTGACATAGTAAATATGAGTTCAATCAGGAGGCCGTGTAGTGTGGACGAAGCATGAGAAAAAAAACCCCAAAAAACTGAGCAATGCTAAATAAGAACAAGATGGGATATCCCTAGATGGTCGGAAAACGAGAAAAATAAAATAAAGTGTTCAGTTCGAAATTCCCTGAAGGTTACTATGATCGATATACACCTGAAGAAGGTCGGAGAGCACAACGGTTGGAACGTTGTGATAATAACAATAAAGATGAAGACATTCGTCCAAATGTAAATAATATTATTCCTGCTGTTATTTACTTAGTTTGGTTTAGTTTTTACCATCAGACACAATTACACAGTACCGCGGACTAACTAGCAGTGGTTACCAGACGAAATCGTTTACCATTACCCCCGCCTCCTACACGTCGTTATTTAACTGATCTTAATCCTTTATACAACCTTTTAGTCTTAAGTGCCTGTTTAATGATTGAAAGTCACCAAGGTGATTTAGGATTTTTCTAATTAATGAAGCATAGAAAAAAAATATAAAAATGGTGTATACGAAGCAAATAAGATTCATCAGTTTTCCCGGGCAACGAAGAATTTGAAAGAAAGAAATGAAAGAATCTGAAATACTTTAAATAAAAGTCATCAGTCAATTAAGCAAAATGTTTGCAGGATTTTTTGCTTTTTAGCTTTCATTTTCATTTCACAAAAAAAAAAAAAAATGAAATATAAAAAATAAAAATCATCTTGATAAAATTCCGTACATAATACAACCTATCAACGACTACAGTTGAAAAGAATTTATTAAAAAATTAAAGACTTCTCCCCATAGCTATGGGTTAAATAATATAGCAGACAGTACTCTTTAGCATTGGTTGGCAACCAGTCTAGTAGAAAGACAACAAATTAAAAAACGTATGTAGCCATTGCGAAGCATATATTATCCAGCTAATGTAAAAACCGTGGGGTTTCCAATGACTATAACATCATCTGCAACCATTTATTCAGTCAATTAATATATATAAAATAAGCATATTGGTTCAAATAAACGTTCCACCGGGAAATTCTATATAAGTATAGGCTTGATCTCATAGGTATAGGTAATTGTCGAGGGGGCTTGCACAATTTTTCCATAGTATTTTCGTCAAACGCAACTAAATTTCAATCTTGTGTCAAATTCGATAACGATGTGGGCACGCTGAAACATGCCGTATACTGATGCTGATCTATTGAATCTATGAAAGAAGGCATGGCGGCGGCGGGGGTGGGGGGTATAAGAATATTGGTCGCTTCCGAATAGTAAACTTAATAAGAATAGAAGATGATATAGATGGATAGATAAAGAGAAAAGAACAGACTCAAATAGATAGAAAACAGAGAGAGAGAGAGAGAGAGAGAGAGAGAGAGAGAGAGAGAGTGAGAAAGAAAGAAAGAGAGAGGAAGGGAGAGAGAGAGAAAGAAAGAGAGAGAGGGGAAGGGAGAGAGGGAGATTGATAGAAAAGAACAGACTGAAATAGATAGATAGATATGAACAAAATGGGAAAGAAAGAAAGAAAGAAAGAAAGAAAGAAAGAACAGAATGAAATAGATAGATATATAGAGAGAGGGAGAAGAAAGAAAGAAATAGAGAGAGGGGAGGGATAAAAGGAATAAATAAAGAGAGATGAGAAGTTAGAGAAACATATATTGACATTGAGAGATGGATTGATTGATTGATTGATTTTTTTTACAGCTTATCAATACTTTGTAGTTTATTTAAAGCCAGTAAATATCCGTAGATTGTAAGAATTTTTTTGTAGATAATAATGGTTAAATGATACAAGTCTTATTAATTAACCTATAGATGGGGGAGAAGAGATGAATTCTTACCTTTCCCAAAGGTATTTACATGTAAGTGGATATAACGAACCCAACGGCCATTGGGACTCGACTGTCCGATTAACAATTCTGATTCATTATCCATTGCACCACACGCCACACATCCAAGTTTAAAACATCTGGTATTCCCAAGCGGCCACCCATCTGGGTACGGACCAGGTTCAACGTTGCTTAACTTCGGTGATACTACGGGAACCGGTATTTCAGCGTGATGTGATCGTAAAAAGAGTAGTGAGATCAGTGAAAGAGCGAGAGAAAGAAAGTGGGCAACACATACATATGTTTATGTGTATGTGCGAGAGAGAGAGAGAGAGAGAGAGAAAGAAAAAAGAAAGAAATAAAGAGAGAGAAGAAGTACTTTATTTTTAGTATTTCTTTAATCGATTTGTAATGAATTTCCTTCCTCCTTAAAAACCTCAAGAAACAAAGATTACCATTGATTATTGATCAGCGGTAATTAATGATGAACATTCACTATACATAATGAATATTGATTAGCTGCTTATATCAGTATAATACAGCTTTTTTAAAAAATATTAATTACAAATAAAACAGAAAAAAAATTAGTTCAACTTCCGCTGCGGAAAAATTGGTTCTGGCCAAAAACGGCAGATCGATGTAAAGGATGTGCTTTCGTTGATAAGAAATGACCAAAGAAAAGATACATACTGATCAATGTAAGAAGAGTGGGAAATAGTTTGTACATAAAAATGTTTGATTTTCTTATATATTTGATACACATATGCTTCTACAGTCATAGGACAAGTTCGCTTTTTTTTACTAGACTTACTCGATAAGGCGATTTTAAGAGTCCTAGAATTTATTCTTTTATTGGTGGACATAAATTAAATAACATAAGATACGCAAATGATAATGTGTTGATGACAGACACAGTAAGAAAAATAAAAGAACAACGTTGTTGGGAAAGGGAAAAAAAAACATTAAATGGGATACATAGTTATCAACAAAATAGACCGTCCAAATTGTGAACTTCATATTGGGGATATCAATATCGAGCAGTTGCAAAAATCTATCTAGTTACGTTGTGCAGTAACAGATGACGGAAAAATGTAACATAGAAATCCAAAGGTGCATATAAATAAGGAAAGATGCCTTTCAAAAATTAAGCAAATTAAGGGGTGATAAGAAAAGTTTTAAAAAGAAAGCAGAACTGCTATATAAGATCTAATCTCCTATATGGCAGTGGATAATTTGCTCTCACACAAAGAAGAGACTTGATGCAACCTAAATGTAATTCATTCATAGGATTGTGGACAGAGAATTTGACTAACGCGGAAGTTTGAAAGAGAATAAAAATTACAAAAGAACTGCTTATAATGCAGTTGAAACTTTTGGGAGGTAAAAAGAGGAAAGAAGGTTCAGAGAATTTAACACCAACAAGAGAAGCACAACAAAAATAGAGGAAAACAATGGGTTTAAGTGTAAAAGAACGTGGTAAATGATCAAAAGATAGGAAGTTGTTTTGTTTGGTTTGGTTATTTTGTTTAGTGGCATATCAACACCTCTATGGGTTATTTAATGCCAACCTCTAAACATTTTGTACTCAATTTTAAGATTTCAGCTACATATATTTTGTACATAGTTTTATACTTTTAGGGTAAACGTATGTTTTTTAGATATATAGTCTATAGAGGATAATTGTATTGTTGGCAATTTCACTAGCAAAATGTATTGTTGGTAATTTGTTTAATAAATATGTATTGCTTGTAATTTTACTATAAAAATGTAATTTGTACTTTTTTAGTGTTGTATTGATTATCATTTTGTTACAAAAAATGTATTGTTCGTTATTCTACAATAAAATGTATTAATAATCATTTTGTTTTAAAAATATATTGATGGTCATTTTATTATAAAAATGTATTGTTAATATTTTTTATAAAAATCTATTGCTGATCATTTTACTACAAAATGTATTATTGATATTTTTTCATAAAGTATATTGCTGCTATTTTTACTATAAAAATGTATTTTATTTACATTATTCGGACTATTGTCCCCATCTTTTTCGCCATATCCATCACAACGTTTCGGCCGTTGTACGCTCCGGCCAGGTGGTTGGAATGTCGAACTGAACCCTTTATTTCGCTCACTGGGGTAGACTATTCTAGTTCCACGTTTGATGGACGTCAGTTATCAGTTATCTACTTTTAATTTCCCTCTCCAAGTTCTCCACTGCCTTAACCGGGTATTGAACTCACACTCTTTGGGTCCTGTCACTGGATCTAACCGACGCCTTTATCTAACCAACGCTGTGCCATGTGCCACTGAGGACATCTGGGCATGAATTTCTGGGTATTATAAACCTAATGTCTTCAGCAACCATTTTTATTTTGCTGTTATCATTGCATGTTTTTAGCAGAGCTCAGAAATATAGACAACTAGCAGTAGAGCCCGGCGTTGTCCGGGGATGTAACAGTAAGAGATAGATCAATTATCGACCATCATAAAGACTGAAAAATAAAATTGACAAAGATTATTGTTTAAGGTTGACCGACACGCATGTCCTAATTAGTTTTTTTTTTTGTTTTTTTTTTTACGAATTGGTCAAACCCAAACTCAAACAAAAACATTGTTTTCAATCGTTATGAGTCTACCGATTGAATAGAATTTTATTATAAACAATTGTCTTGTAAATGGAATTTTTAAAGCATTCTGAATGTAAAAATAAAGAAAAAGTGTGCAAGACAATAAGAAACACTACCTGCCAAAAAAAAAAAGTGAGGTTTTGTTGAAATCGGTTGAAAAATGTAGGAAATCGATCCCATATATAAAAACACACACACACACACACACACACAACCTGGGTTTATAATAAGTATAACTCGATATGAGTTGTCCTCTTTCATTCTCGCGATGCCTCTTAATCGTGTTTTCAAATTGATTTTGTGCAAAAACAATTGTTTTTCCAATTTTTGGCGCTGTCAGAACCACCGCAAGGTAATTTTACGTAGTCCTGTGAAGTTTTGTTGAAATCGGTTGAAAAATGTAGGAAATCCGATCCAATATATAAAAACACACACACACACACACACACACACACACACACACACACACACAATTGGGTTCACACAACCTGTATGATGTAATTTTTTTATATTTTCCTAGTGTTTTGATTTCTGTTTGAATGTTCAAAATTTTGATCTCGGAACAACAGCAATTAAAAGGTGATTACACGTTGCTCAAAACCTTCAGTCTTCTAATCAGGGGCCTTACTGCCAGATGAAGTTTATCTATACCCAGGACTATAGGAAGTTGTGGAGACTTCTAAAAGGGCATAGTATGTTAAAGAAGTAAAAAAAAGACCTATCTGTTTGCTTGGAGTAGGGTTTCCTGCTTGCTTGGAAATATCATTCGGCGCCATTTGGCGATTCCAAGCCTTCATCAAAGATAATTCTATTAGGATAAAAGGATGATTATGCAATAGCCGAAGATATTGGTCACCTGACTTTGAAGAGTCTAGAATAAAAAAAAAACAAAAAACAAAAAAAAAACACACACACACCAAAAAACAAGCGTTTATCGAAGAAAGCCTGTACTACCAATGCCTACCTTCAACTTTTCTGACGTGGTGTTGACTGAACACACAAAAAAAGAAAAAATAGAGAGCTTGAATACAAATAATTCAATTATTTGTCAACAGTTTACTTTAAAAGGATTACACAAAACAACTTCCTCGCAAGCCTCGTACTTCCATTAATAGACAATCGGCCACTTCGGATCTCGGGAGAAGAAAAAAATGAAACAAATTAGACGATTTGGATAAAGTCGATTTGCAAGGGGAAAAATGTTAAGTGCATTTCTTTTTTTTTTTTTCCTTTTTTATGAATGAAAATCTGTCGACCAATAGCTGCTTCATTTGATGGTTCAGTCTTACAAGATGGAAAAATTGGAAAGACAAGAAAGACGTATTTAGAAAATAGAGAGAGAGGGATAAAGATAGAAAGAGAAAGAGAGGGAGAGAGATGGGGTGGTGAGGGTAGAGAGAATTCGTTCGGTTTCACTCCAAACATTTTGCTAGGAAATCCTAAAATACCAGATTTAAATGCAACGACTTTTGCTATTTTAAGTGCATTCGATTTGTTAATAGTATTTTTACAAAGAGATTTTTCCGAAATTATCCGCCTCTCTCCTTTAGTCCTTTCTCTCTCTCTCTCTCTCTCTCTCTCTTCGTCTGTATCTATCTATATCGTTCGTTCGTCTTGTCAGATCCTATCACTGACATGTTACATCGATTTATTACTGTTTATCTTCCTTGTGACGCCACACTCTGCTCCCGACTCACTCACTTCTGCATTACACGATCCAGGGTTGATACTCGTGATTTTTACGGAAATAGAGGAGGTTAACAAGCACATTTATCCTTTATATCTTGACTTGTACGTACGTATATACATGCATGCATACATACACCCATACATGCATGCAGACATACATATATACATACATACATACATACATACATACATACATACATACATACATGCATGCATACAATCATGCATAGATAAATAAATATGAAGGCTGAGATAGACATGATGGCTGTCACTTGATTTCGAGTGGTGCCATTGCTTTATATACAGGGTGATTGAAAAATAAAATAACTCCGTATTTTATGGACTCTACCGTTTAACTATAATTTTTACAACAGTATTATTTATGAAAGTGAATGTAATTGACTAGACTGGAACTTGAACTCGGCTCTCCGATTTCGATTTAGCGTTAAGATACCTACACATAGAAAATTGAGATATTAATCTGAAAACAGGATGGAATAGTGAAAAATTATTGGAATCCAAAAGAATACATTGATCCAACGTTTAACATGAATCTGAAAATGGTTTGATAGAAATCCTTTTCAGGTTTCAGACAATACGCATTAAAATAATTGTCTTTTTAAGTGAATATTATATTGAACATTATATATATATATATATATATATATATATATATATATATATATATATATATATGTGAAAATATATAGAAAATAGGAAGGAACTGGTTAGGTAAATAGTCCAAAGTTCCTTATTATTTTAGTTGTTATTTTTAAAAAATAGTGCTCGATACAAAAGTAGAGCATAAATATAATTATCTATTTAAAAATATGATTCCAAATCGCTACATAAGAGGTCTCATGTTTCAAAACAAGAGCCGAAAACTTCAATATAATCCTTTAAATTAAATTGAGTTGAAATTAAAAAGGGCTCCGTTCCATCTTCAAGCGAAATTTTTGTTGGAATAACGTATATCTGAAATATAACGTAACGTTTGTTTTTTGACGACTTCATAAAGGGTTATATTTTATGTAAGGTATTTAAACTACTAAAAAGATACTACTACATAAAAGATAACCCTTTATGAAGTCGTGAAAAAACAAACGTTACGAATTTTTTTTTTTTTTATATGCACAATTCCTTTCATAATAAAATAAAATAAAATAAAATAAATAAATCTCCATAGACAAGCCAACTTGACGAAAGCTTAATACATCTTCGTTTCATTTTTTGACACCCTCACCTTCCCCCGACTTGACACCTTTGAAAGTATCTCTATACCGCTACTCATCATTAACACCCTACACTCGCCTACCCATTTTAGACAATTCGCCCTAGCTGTTACCATGGTGATTTTGATTTCAACTTTTAAAAAACAAGTAAATTTCAGATATACGTTATTCCAACAAAAATTTCGCTTGAAGATTTTTTTTTTAATTTTAATTTCAACTCAATTTAATTTAAAGGATTATATTGAATTTTTCGGCTCTTGTTTTGAAACATGAGACCTCTTATGTAGCGATTTGGAATCATATTTTTAAATAAATAATTATATATATATATATATATATATATATATATATATAAATATAAACCGGGTGTGTAACCGAGTCTTTAGCATGTTAGCATTTTATCCATAAAACCCAAGTTCGAATCTCACCAGTTGTCGAGAAAAAATTTCCTCCTTATAACCTAATCTCTTGGGAGATGATCTCAATGAGCGGCGCCGTTTCAAAGTGCCTGGTGACTTCTTTGTTATTTTCCTATTTTTATTTTTAAAAACCAAGAGTCCCCAAGCAGTGTTATGTCTTAAAGATAAATGCTTATTTCGGGAGGCATTTTTATTATTTTCCTATTTACAAATTTCAGGACTTATCTTTCCTTATTAAAATTTAAAGGGCGCCCTAGAGTTTTAGTTATCCGACAAGTGAGCTCTGAAGAGAAAAGGGTTTTAGAAACACTGGTCTAGATGGATGTGCTAACCCGAAGTTACAAGTCACCGTGACCGAGATTTTGAGCGTACTGACTTTTTTTCAATTGTTTGATCTTGCCAAATTGTACTCTCCCTCATATAAACTAAGGTTTCTTCAAATAGTTTCACTATAAACCACAGGTTGGCTCTGTGGATATTGAAGAAAGATGTGCTCGTGCAGGCGTCTGCAACAGGGATTATTAAACCCACTCGAACAATCGGGTGCACATGAAAACGACAGTCAGTCATTAAAATGTATAAAATACTGTGAAAGTGAAAATTTGTTTTCGTGTTGCATTTTATCTGCTTAAAGCGGTTTTCTTTGTTGGCAACTTTCGATTGCATTTTGGTTTCTCATGTAATACTTAATCGAATTTTTTGACGTCAGAGTTCCGATTTAACTTGTTTGTATTTTTCTGTTTATCTTAATGACGTTATCAGACTTTATTTCATTCTATTCTTATCTTGTATTCAAAGATAAGACAATATTTCTTCTGTTTGTGCGTATGTATCCACCTTCTACACGAATTAAAAGATATATATATATATATATATATATATATATATATATATATATATATATATATATATATATGATAAAATGTAGTGTTAACGCATGCTATATTTATGGGTAAAAGTGGTCAATATTAGTGATAGAGCGTATGTAAGTGCAAAAGTTAGTACTGTTAGTAGCGAGCGTACTGTTTCGTACTTGAAAGCATTCAGGCCATACGTGTAGTTTCTTATCTCGACCTTTTATATATGCTGGTCAATAGTGCATTATGGGTAACGGGGTATTTTGTATTACCCTAATGGTTAATAAAAAAAGGTGATACAACAGTTGCAAATAACCAGATTCAGATCCCCAATTATTTCCAATCAATAGACTCTAGAATAATTTCCAAGATAATATAATAGACTTAAAAAGTATATATATATATATATATATATATATATATATATATATATATATATATATATTTGCTTTATACGTTATTTTTATAGAAATATTCGTCCTCCGACAGGATTCGAACCGGTATCCTATACGGAACCGTCATATAGGATACAGATATTTTCTGTTTAAAAATTTCTCGGACATTCAGGCCGGTAAATGTTCTTTAATACTGTTTATTATAAACAGAGCATTTACTTAAAAATATTTGTATCTATAAAAGAATGTATAAACATAAAATGTCTAAAATAATTGTCGGACTTTGTCCATTTCATAATGTATATATATATATATATATATATATATATATATATATATATATATATATATATATATATATATATATGTGTGTGTGTGTGTGTGTGTGTGTGTGTGTGTGTGTGTTACGAAGAACTTGAATGCAATGCTGCTAGGGGCTCCGTTTCCTGCTATGGTCTCCCATAGTGGTAAGGATACAGGAAGGGATCAAACTAAGCACGATCCGACGCCCGGCGGTAGGCGGTCAAGGTGACTTTCTACGTACGCGAACAACCCGTCAGCCCGATGCAAAGTGTCATCATGAACCTACCTGTCAAGTCTTGGTTTGCCTAGCGGAATGCTTTCTGCTGAAGTGTGTGCGCCATGAAGTGGCGACCACCTGAAACAGTTCGCAGCCAAGGCTTTCATACTCAAAGACTTTTCTTCTTCTCGTGTCTAAAGCAGAAATTGGAGAAGAGCAGTCCACGAAAACACTAGAAGAAAAATGGAAGAGAGCCCAAAGGAAAGACAGATCTCTCCATCTCTTGAAACCTTATATCCTACCATGCAGTAGCTATGGACGTCTCTTCAGATCCAACATCGGACTCATTTCACACAGAAAGAAATTTCGATGAGCAACCTTATACTCGGCAACGAGTTCTACCACCACCACCACCACCACCACCACCAACACACACACACACATATATATATATATATATATATATATAACAGAAAGCTCATGATACTAAGCTAACACTGCAAATTGAAAAGGTAGCTGATTCTCTCCACAGTGATGTTGAATGTAAACATACCATTTCATTTATTAAAGACATTTTTTTTTTATGTTTAACGTTGTTATTTATAGATACAAGTATTTAAGCAAATGCTCTGTTTATGATAAACAGTATTAAATAACATTTACCGGCCTGAATGTCCGAGAAATTTATCATAAACAGAGCATTTGCTTAAATACTTGTATCTATAAATAACAACGTTAAACTTAAAAAAAAAAAAATGTCTTTAATAAATAAATTGTCGGACCTTGTCCATTTCTTAATATATGATACCATTTCATCTTCAGATGAGTATCTTTATCAACGAGCGAAACAAAGATATATTAATAATTAAAATTTATTAGACTTGCTATTATCAGTTTAAAAATTCTTTTACTCTTTAAAACTGTAAATTTTATTAGATGTTGTCTTGGAGAAATTCCAACAAGGTTGCAATGAAAATATGAAATATTTATTTTGCACGACTAATTTGGCCATGTTAGGATCCAGTCTTCATAAATTTTCAGCAAGATTCCTACCAGAAAATTGAAATCTCTATCAGAAAATCTACATTGTTTTCAGTTGCGTCTTTTTGAAATCATTGTTTTGTCGTATAACTTCCGCTATGAAAAGAGATCATGAGAGATCAGTATAATTAGTATAATGCAAAGATTTTTTTACTTTAAGGCATTGACATTATCAGGGTTGTTATCTTCTCCTCTGGAATATCTTAACAAGATGCACTAAAAAGATGAAACAATTTGCTTGTTGGTTCTTTCCTTATTTCACTGCCGTCAATATTCTAGAAATATTCGATAAAACTTATGTCAGGGGACGAAATCTTCAAAGTCGCTTATTAACTTTTTCAACGTTCAAAATTTTAGAAACTGCATTGAAGTTTTTTTTAAATTAAAAAAAATAAAATTTCTGTCGTATAATTCAATAGAATTCGAATATTTTTACAGATCGATATCATTTTTATTCAAAGAATAACTGAAGAATATTTTATGAAGCAAATTATCCTTTTTCAATTCGAAACTAACAGATTTTTAAAACTGTTGATTTATATCAAATCTTGGCACAATATGTGAAGCCTCTAACATAAAAAGATGGTTAACAAGTAATATTATCTATCTATCTATCTATCTATCTATCTATCTATCTATGTCATTCTATTTGTATCTATCTATGCCTCGTCCTACATCCGCGTCCTGGGTAAGACGTTAAACTACATCCGCGCCCTGGGTAAGACATTAAACTGTGTCCAGCAGCAAGGCCTCTGATCAGAAGGTTTTGAAGAGCGTGGAACCACCTTTTAATTGCTGCTGTTCTTAGGTCCACCCTGACCCGGGGTAGTAGCACCTGTTAGGGTTCCAGCCATGGGCAAATAGTTAACTATTACCAGCAATACTTTTTTTGGAAAAAATTATTACCAGCAACACAATTTTAAAGGAAATATATTAGCAGAAACAGATTTTTGACAAAACAAAGTATCTATCTATCTATCTATCTATCTATCTATCTATCTATCTATCTATCTATCTATCTATCTCAATCTGTTCCTATCTATCTATCTATCTATCTATCTATCTATCTATCTATCTATCTATCTCAATCTGTTCCTATCTATCTATCTATCTATCTATCTATCTATCTGTCTCTCTATCTATCTATCCCTGTCAGCCTCTCCACATCTTTTTATCTATTTGAATATTTATATATTTGAATGCGTCTAATAGTCTGAAAAGTGGGATTGCTGTGCCGATTTCAAATTCCAATCAAGATTGTTTTGTTTTCTATCGTCGAAATACTCTCGGTCAAGGTATGAATTCATTTTTTTTCTGTCCCAGCATATTCCACTGTTAATGGTATACATTCTCCCTATCACATTGTTTTCATATTTATATTAGCTTTCATTTTATATTACACACACATACACATACGTACGAAATATTTCCATCCACATGAAATTGCCGAATACAAAGAAAAAGGACATCTGTATATTTTAGTGCATTTCAAATATAATGTTTGCTATTCCATCTTCCAAGCATGTTAATATTGACCCAGTCCAGTCTTATAGTCAATGAAATATTAAAGATCAAAGACACTATAATGAAAAGGCAACGTTTATTCAACATTGTAAGTGCAAAACAAAATAGTCTGAAGAAAATAATTTATTGGGAGAAATCTATTGTGTAAGTGTTTGCTTCTTTTTGGTCGATCCTTTACTTTGGGTTTCTAAAAAAAGAATTAAAAAGGAAATGCAGACGACTTTACTTTGCCTAGCTTTGAGAAAACGCTTCAGCATTTCTACCATAATGGCGACATGTTTTCGCTGATTGGCTGACCGGAAACATTACGTCACGAGATGCTGGTGAGTGAATTTAGGAAATAAAGATACCGGCGTTTTATTCTTCTCAAAATAGATTTGATTCATGAACTTCACAACGAAATTAATTTTCTATTTATTGTAAAATTCGAAAAACCAGGTTTTAAACACAAAGAAACAATTATAAATGAAACATTATACAAAGAATTCCGTTTCTATTGAGGTAACTGTATAAACATATATACGGTCATAAATAATTTGTTTTTGTTTGTCAACTTTACTTTTAAAAAAATACTATACAATTACATTTTATTCAATTCTATATTCACCATTATTTAAAATGAATTATTGCTAATTTCCATGTAGCTCTTCGACCCTTTTGACTAAAATTTTGCAGGTTTTGATGTGAAAAGGTTTCGATAAATTCTTGAATTTGATTTTAATTAGCGATATTTTTCTCCCATCGAAGCGTTTTCTCAACGATCAAAAAAAGTAATAATCAGTTGGTGCAAGGTCTGGAAAATATGGCCTGTCGGGTAGAACAGATCAAATGAGTTCCTCGTATTTTTGTGTTATTCTTTTTGTATGCAACCGTACATTTACACTGGTAGCCGTCGTGACCATCCAAAATAAACTTTTTTCTCATCAGAAAACACTACGGTTTCCCATTTCTCCTTTGTCTATCTTACTTTTTTCTTCATCCAATTTACGCGCATCTTCTTGTGTTTAACAATTAAAGGAGGGGCTGCTTTCCTGTTTTGATACACGAGATTTGGCGATTCATGGAGAAGTTAACAAACTTTTCTTGGTGTGAAGGGTAAATGCTAAATTTTTGAAGATCTCTTGAGTTTGATTGTCTAGAAGGTTCTCGAAAATGTCAACGTCCGGCTGCATTTGGAATTGTAGGTGGACGACCTCGACGTTTTTGATTCAGGGTCCTTTAGATATTTTCTTACAACTGTTCGGGACCTCGACAATTCTCTTGCAATTAAATTTATAGATTTTACTTCCAGTTTATAGGCAGAAATTTGCCTTTTTTATTTTCATTAAGTGGGGGGAGTTCCCAAGCATTTTGCAGTAACTGTATTCAATTATGAAATGTTTAAATAAAGACTCACATGGCTTAAAATCCTGATAAGATTCTTTTTATAATCTGCGCATGCGCTTATTCTTCCTTTGGCATTCTGAAGTAGACCAGATATGCAAATTTTCAAAACTGTCTTATAATTATTTCCACCCTTTTTGTTAATAACTTTTTTTGGTGGAAAGTTGTTATAAAATTGAATATGTATACTAATACACATCATTATCTACCGCAGAAAGAAATGGCAACCTACTGCGGGAAAAATCTGCTTTGTCAGTCATGTATCGAAAGATACATGATCGCCTAAACATGTATCACGCAGGGCACATAACTGACTGAAATTCACTTACGTGCTAATACTCTTGGGAAAGGTATGAATCCTCCTCTCCTCTCCCCCTCCAGCTATGGGTAAATAGCAGGACAAACCTGGTTCTATAGCCTTGTATAGCAATTGGTCTACCGCTGAAAGAAATGGCAACCTACTGCGGGAAAAAATTCTTAGACGCTGTTAATTTGCATTACTTTAAAGGACATATTTGGGGGTTGATATAAATCTAAATGTCTAAACAATCTACGAAGAATTTAATTTGAAGTTTGTTGGAGTTTTGGGTATTTTCTATGAAACAGTCAATTGGAAAAACTCATAGAAAGTACATTGAAAAAGTAATCCATTTTATATTTAGTAATCTTTTTTATTTTCCTAAACTTTTTTCTTATTGATTGTTAAGTTGACATCTATTCGTTTGATTTTTGTTCATTAATTAAATAAACTCGTGATTGTTTTTAGGTACCTAATTATCAAAGGTTATTCCAATTTAAATAATTTTATCATCAAGAATTTGAGTGAAACCTGCCCTCGTGGAATTAATTTATTATGGTTTGTTGTAGCTTCTTCCTTTAATGTCGGTCCTCTCCCTCACCCCTTACCCATCTATATCTAGAGATAACACGCGTTAAATTTAAGCGACGTCTAGTTTACACAGAGTGGGGTTAAGAATAAAGAATTGAAATGGTACATCTAACTCACTCATGTCTTCTCTCCCCCGTAAATTCCTCACTTCGTTAATTTTACATATGCTTGATGCGGTCCGTCAAAAATGTGTGAATCTCTTTTCATTTTTCATTTCAACCTTTGGAAGTAAAGTCTGATGATCCAGAGCCCTGTTAAAGGGGTTGTGGTGAAATAACTTATTACATGGAACCTTAAAGTGGCCTGTTTTTATTCAAACAAATATATATAAATATATATATATATATATATATATATATATATATATATATATATATATATATATATATATATATATATATATATATATATATATATATATAAGATAGCGTCGCTGATTCATGCACATAGTTGCATCAAGTAGTTGCATAAATGTAAAAAAAAAAAAATTAATCTGATGAAGTCCTAAAGAACGAAACACATCACATAAAATCTTTTTTGGTTTTGTCATATAAAGTAGTGGAGTAGTGGATAGCGGCTTGGATTGAGGAATCGGAGGGCCGAGTTCGAATTGCAGTCAAAACCATTACATTCACTTACATGCTAATACCCTTGGGAAAGATATGGAGCCTCTTCTTCCCTCCCATCTATGGGTAAATAGCGGACAGACAGGGTTCTATAGCCTTGGATGGCAACTGGTCTACTGCAGAAAGAAATGCCAACCTACTATGAGGAAAAATATCTGACTAAGGATACTGGGATGATAGTCAGAACGACAGAAAACGCAAGATCTAAAGACCGATGTAGATACGCGACAAGGCTTAGCTGTACAATAAAATTGGCTTATTTCTGAGGCTGTACAGCAAATATTTGAGTTCCCAAACTCACATAAACTAACAGGTGTGTCTCTCTATAAACTTCAAATGAAATTGGGATCAGCATTATACTTTTGAATCGCCCAACCTTGTACAACGGAATTTACATACCTGTCAAGCCTTTTTCTTTGATTTCAACCGATTTCTTTTGAGACGCCAATAAAGCAGAAAGGTTAGGGTCACTTCGCACCCAGAGCTTTTCGCAGCAGTTGCACGTGTTATCAAAGAATAATCAATTTCGGGAAGTGAATAATCAATTTCAGAATAGTTTTTCAAGGCTTATTTGTTTTAAGATTTTGCATTTAAAAAAAAAATATTTTTATTAAAATATATATTTAAATTGTTAGTTTTAAAAACTAACAATTACCTATTTCCTGTGCAAGGAGATATAAATCATATTTTTTCAAGTTGAATTTTTCTCGCATTTCGTATACAAAAGTTTTTAACTTAGAAAGTTTTTGACAGACAATTTCAAACTTTATAGTTCGCCACCAAATTGACGATCGCCTTTTTTTCCTTTAAGTTGGGAATTATTTTCATTTGTGTAAGGAGAGACAATTCAGAGAGCAATAAGTTTTATAAGAACAACTATAAGATTTTCAACTTTTGAAATACGAAAGAACGCTGTCCGTTATTTAAATAGTGACATAAATGAGATATACGTAAAATAAACAATAATCATCATATACGAGAAATAATTGCAAGAGAAAAGATTAAATTTTGTTTACATAATTATTTTATTAGAATAGCTTAGGGAACAAACGAGATATCAGTTATTAAAATCGAAGGAATTTTCACTATTTTAACAGCAGTTCGCACCGAAACTGGCGCAGTTAGGGATATCTATCTATCTATCTATCTATCTATCTATCTATCTATCTATCTATCTATCTATCTATCTATCTAAAATTCTGTGACTTCCGTTATTCCGTCCGTCCGCCCTCACACTCTCTAAAATAGTCATACACTGACCGATCGAAACCAAATTTTAGGGAGAAGTTCGAACCGGTGTAATGTACAGTTGGTTTTACTAGGGTACAGTGTAACCCGGATATAAGAGACCCGGATATAAGAGAAACCCGGATATAAGAGAAACCCGGATATAAGAGACTTCTTCTCCGGTCCCGACAACTCTCTTACATCCGGGTTACACTGTATTTGCCAAAGTATTTTTCCAAACAAATCAGCTTTCATCGATTGATTTGCGCCATTGAACGAAATGTAAAGTTTGCAAATCTCGACAAAAAATGTTAGCGATAATTTCAACAATGCTAAATTCTGTGAGGATTTCAATATATGTCAGCATGTTGCAAAATAATTCTAGTAAAATAAAAAAGTTGTTTTAAAAGAATATTGCATTAAAATTAATTATGCGAATATTATATTAAAATCATTTTTAGACAATGCAACGGTATCTACATTGAAAATTATTTGTAAAAGTGTTGATATTTCTTATTTAGCAATTTTTAACCATATAAAGTTTTAACATTATTTTATTGAAGGACATTACAGTCCTATGCCGTTACGCACTTTGATTTTCTAATTAATGATATAAGTCCGCTAATCAATTTTTACTAGTATTGCTAATTATTAAAGAAAATCATTATTTAATAGTAAATCATATAATACCTTATTGTACGATGAGTCGACTTATGGCCATATTACGTTGAGATACAGGTTCTCATAATTTACTGAATATTTAAGTATTAATAGTAACCTAACGTAATTGTATTTTGTCACCATCCATTTTCATAAATAAAGTTTTATGATTGCTGTTGTTAGTTTATGTTTATAAACTGAATAATTACCCTAAATAGTGTAAAGGATGAATCCGTTGTCTCAACAGCTTTATTTAAACTTTACAACGAGGTTAACATATGAAAACTAGAATTCCTATCATGATTTATCATTAATGGGCAGGAACAAAATAACATAAGAACTATCACTTTTAAACACCGGTTCTTGTAAGAACACAGATCTTAATTGACGTCGTGCCTCGTTAATACCAAGATGGCTGACCACTTGGAAATACCAAGTGCTGTAAACGTGGACGTGCAGGTGGTGTAATAGATAATTGGACATCGGAGCCGAGTTCCAATTCCAATCGGGTTCCTTATATTCACTTACGTGCAAATACCCCTGGGAAAGGTATGAATCCACCTATTCTCCCGACTGCTATGGATTAATTAGTAGGGTTTGTATCAGTAAATCATTATCTCCAAAAAATTCTTACAATCTAAAAATAAAATATTTTATGGCTTTAAATAACCTGCAATAGGTTCGTCAGCCGTAACATATAAAACAATCAATATACTATGAGACGGAATAATGAAAAAATATTAAAACGTAAAAACATATTCCAAAATAGAATTATTTATACAATGTAATCCAGGTGAGATATACATAAATTATAAGCAATTCATTTAAAGTTGACTTGAATTCTGAGCATTGTTAAACTATAAGAGGTTGTGATTTTCGTTTCTAACAACGGTCACTACGAAACGCCGACAGCGAATCGTATATTTTTGAGGTACGAAGACACCCTCTGAAGACCACTGTCCTCAACCTGATTAATCTTAATTTTTCCATGGCCAGTTCTATACTAGTTGTTCTAGGGTCAGATCCCTAATCAACATTTTCAGACTGGCACTAATATTGTGCACACATAAACTCTGTCAAAGTCAGCATCATTTCTTGCTTTGCGTATCAGAATCTTTCGTCAGTAACAAGTACTTTTGCAAGTGAGGTGAGCTTAAATTATCTTTTTTTTTCTTTTTCTTTAAAAAGTACATTATGTCAGATTTGATTATGTGAATCATAAAGGAATTCATCTTAACCAATCCATGCTGGCAAAATTTTCTTTATATATCTAAATAAATAAACGATATATTCTGTTCGTTCGTGTGACCGAAGCCGCACTAACTCGGGCCACGCTTGTTCTACATAGACATATTATACCTCTTTCAAATTAGGATGATCCCGGAATTGAAAATCTGCCCTTGATGTGGTGCTTGGACTTCTAGTATTGGGATTTGTATCCCAATATTGAGGGAACAGTTAGAAATTCAAATTGTAAAATAAATGAAAAAAAAGTGATTTTAAAAGAGTTTAATTTATATTGAGTTTAAAGTAACACAAAAACTTTGTGAATTAAAAAAAAATGTTTTAAATTCAGTTTAAAATATCTTCAAAATTTTGTGAATTGAGGAAATCAGTTTTATTTCTTTAAAATGCCAGGGAATCAGAGTTAAAGTGAGAGGTTTCGTGGCGTGAGGTTTTGAAGTTAATTTTCGTCCTGAAACTCAATTTTCAGCAATTTTGGCCCCAAATCAGAGTTTCGGCCCAAATTGAACTTTCGGCTGAAATCCTTATTTTGGGTCGTAATTGGACTTATATACCGAATCAGAGTGAACGCTTGAAGTTCGATGGAGTGAATTGATGAATTTAAAGGTATTTCTTCGAAATTATCATTGCTTTAGTTTTGGGACGGGGCCCCAATTAGGCCTCTGCAGGCGCTAGCTTAAAAGTGCACACGGATTGCAGTATTTTAAGTTCTTTTATATATAATAAAAGTACCGTGTGAATTTCATCTTCTAATATATTTTGTTATATTCAAAATATTTGTAATAAAATAGTGAGATTTTATTATGCAACGTACTTGTTAATAAATATATTTTTACATCGTTATTGCTATTTATTTTTAATTTCAGGCTTATAAAGTTTGTCTAGATCTATAAGTCAGGTATAACCCCAAAGAGAAAAGAAAATAGTGTAAAGTGAGTTATGAAAGTACGACACCGTGAAAGAGTTGAACAGAGATCACAGAACAATCAGAAAAAGAATTTTTAAAAATCGTCAAGATACAAAGAAGAAAAATAACTTTAATAATGTCACAAAATAGCTTTTAAAAGAATTAAAATATATTTCTTTCTTTCCAGTACTAGATTGGTGGCAAGGTCTCACCATTTTACAGTTAAAACAGCCAGATGCAGCCGTAAGTTCTATGCTAACAGTTTCATCTATCGCACTTCTTTCTTCAAAGTCAACTTTGATCTTCAAAAATATAAATGCAATGTCAATCGTTAACTTCTGTCTTAATTCCTGGTCTTTTGCTGTTTCAACTCCTTAATAATGTTTGTATTTTTCTTATATATATACACTCGGTAAAAGTTGAGTCAATAAAAGCTTGGACAATTCGAACTAACCCCACCACCCCAACAAATTGTTATCAATATTCTTAATAAACACATAAACTAAAACTCACATAAGATATTGGCCATATAAGTATACTAACAGTAGTTGGTTAATATTAATTTTAATATGAAAATACTGACTTGCACAATAAAAAGATATATTGAGTATATTTAAGAACATTTTCTAATGTCTTGTTCAGTCTTTGGGGCATATTTTTGAAATTAGTCGACGAGAACATTTCCACACGCACACACATACACACACAAACATACACGCTCCTCTTTTTCTGAGGTGCATGTTTTTTTTATAGTTTTCAGATATAAATATGAGCAAATAAGTATGACTATATTCATGTGACTTATCCATTACACGTATCTATATAAGTAGTGCTCGTTCGTTTTTCAATTTCCTTTGCCGAAATCAATTGATACGACTGCCGGATCGATATCATAATTTGTAGCGTCTCGTATTTTGACAGGAATCTTCCGGGCGAATCTCAATGTTAGAGGCATAATGGTTGCAGTTGCAGGAAGTGAATATCACCAGAAATGGGAAACACGTCCATCGAGAGAGAAACGGACTCGACGTTTTGCTTCTCCAACACTTTCCCGTCTTTCCGCAGTCGGATATCATTGATTTAATGGTGGCAAACGAGAAGCAAAGAGACTGCGCCATGAATTCTTCTACGTCTCCCCGTAAACATTTGAATTTAAATCAAGACGGGACATTTGTATTCTAAATGAAGTTTTAAATTATAAAAAAATTTAAGAATATAGAATTTCTACCCTCTCTTGTCAATATGTGTAGAAAAATGTTCATTGTGTACAAATTGGTTGATTATTTCTGTTAAATTCTATCGACAATGTCTGTTTAATCTTTTGTATCAGATCATCCCATAAGTTCTGTCCGAATTTTAACTTTTTGTTAAAATGAATGAAATTTAAAGAATATTTTATAATGTCTAGTGGAGCTGAACATTATTTTTATGTTTAGATGCAATTAAACTCATCAAATTTTATTTCAGAGAACAATAAAATTAAATTTTGTTTGATTAAAACCCTGCTAACATGGAAGTACCCAAGAATCATTTGAGGCACATAATGCTTTATGAGTTCAAGAAAGGAAACTCAGCAGCCGAAGCGGCTAGAAACATTCACTCAGTTCATGGAGAGGAATGTGTGAATGAAAGAACTTGCAGAAGATGGTTTGCAAAATTCAGAGGTGGAGATTTCACCCTTGAAGATGAAGATCGAACCGGACGTCCAGTTGAGTTTGATGAAAAACTTCTTGAAGCAGCCCTTGAAGAAAATCCTGCTTTATCAGTTGAGGAATTGGCAGTGGTTCTCAGTTCAAACCATACAACTGTTCATCGTCATCTTCAACAACTTGGAAAAGTTCCTAAACTTGGAAAATGGGTGCCTCATGAATTGTCTGAAAACAACCTCAAATCCTGAGTTGATATCTGCTCTTCTCTCCATTCTCGCCAACTTGTTTCACCTTTTTGGATAGACTTGTGACTGGCGACGAAAAATGGATCTTTTATCGAAATGTTAAGCGTCGTAGACAGTGGCTTGGTAAAGGGGAGGACCCCAGCCACAGCCGAGAAGGGAACTTCATAGGCAAAAGGTTCTTCTTTCAATCTGGTGGGATCGCCAAGGAATAATCCACTTTGAATTCTTACCACCTAATGCAACAATTAATGCTCAAATATAC